AGAAGCCTGGGGAAACACTTCTGAACAGCACTGTTGAGAAAACAGAACGCAAAAACACAAGAGGAAGAGGATGATGGTCATGATTTATACAGCAGACACTCAGTACAATGACTGTACAATGTGATTAAACAGTTTATTGTGAATGTTTGTATGTCACGAACTAGTCATAATATTGTGCCATAATCAGCACAGATAAATAGTTTTTTTTTATTAATGATTTTTAAATAGTTCATACAACAAAGACAATCAGACAAACAAACAAAGCATACCCAAGTGCTGCAAATCAAACAAACATTTACAAATGTAAGTTTAAAATAGAGAATAATATAAAATAAAAAATAAATAAAATAGACCAAACAAAACAGAAGAAGCCAGCACTCTTTTCAAATAAAAATGTATAAAAAATATATAAAATGTATATACAAAGGATTGGAGAAGTTCCCAAAGCCTTTTGAATTTGTCCTGTTTGTGGTTGAGGTCATAAGTTAATTTTTCCAAAGAAAGAAAGGCTGACAACCGAACAATCCACATGGAAATAGTTGGAGTTTGAGAAGTAGACCATTTTAGTAATATACATTTCTTAGCCAGAAATGTAAGAGTTGTAAACAGAGGATTGAGCTCTGAGTCAAAAAGGTCTTCTGGAATGACATTTAACAAAAAAAGTGAGGGGGTGAAAATAAAACGTTTTCCAATTATCTCCTGGATTGCAGAATGAATCCCTCTCCAAAATGGTTGGATGTAACCACAGGACCAGAATATATGAAAAAATGTGCACTTTAATGTGCACAAGTTTTGCACTTAAAACAGACATTGGAACAGGCTGAGAACATTTTATGCAGACGAACAGGTGTAAAATAAATTCTGTGGAAAAACTTAAAATTTTGTTTTTGTATGGAAATTGAGGTACATTTTGGAAAGGTACCATCACAGATCTTGGACAAATCTTCAGGGTTAAGCAGAACTCCTAGGTCCCGTTCCCATAGTGGTTTCAACGAATCATAAACTGAGGAATCAGAATAAATTAATAAGGCATAGAATTTAGAAATAAGCTCTTTAAATGAACTTACTGACAGCATGCTTTCTTTCAGATCCCATATTTTAAAACGAAACCAATTTTGCTTTACTAGGAACTCTATAATATGTCAAATTTAAACATATTTAAAGTCTTCGGAGGGAATATTAAACTCTGTTCTAATTTGTTCAAATGATTTCACAATTTCAGAGGTAAACATACCTGAAAAATCAGACAAATTTTTAGAACTCTAGTCCCGCAATCCGATGCTCCTAATCTGAGTGGGGAAGTCTGGGCTCAAAGCCAAAGGGGAATGGATGGATAAAATTTGGGGGATATTCATATGTTTTTTCACATCATTCCAAACCAGTAATGTATTTTAGACAATCACATTGTCAGTAAGAGAGATTACATGATTTGTATTATTAATAAACCACATGGAATCTAACAGATAAATCGTTTAAATTGGTGGTGAACATTTAATATTACTTACACATGCTTATTCTGAATATATATGAAAGACACTTGTCAGATTTTATTCTAGAGAGCAGGCGTGAGGTTCAGCTGAGTCCTCTTCATTTTCTGTCTGATTCTGTCTGGTGAGGCTAACAGTTACTCTGACTGACAGTATTTATACAGCAGTGGCAAAATGCATGCGGTAGTAAAGGCGTGACGCTTCCTGGTCACGTGGAGCCAATCAGTGAATCACAGCACATTATGTTAGCTGACCAATCAGAGCCTTTTGAGGGTGAACCTTTAGGTTTCATGTTAGTCAAGTAGCTGTATATAATCTAAGATAAATGAAAAAAATAATGTGTTTTTTACAAATGAAGCATGAGCACACATTGCATCTTACAAACACAACCAAGCCTTAAAAATACACTGTGGACCACCCATTTAAAGAAATATACACCAAATATATATATACACCAAAAAAAAATTTTATTTAGCCATGAGTTAGTTTAGAAGGAAGCAGAAGTAAAGAGAATCTTCTCCCAGCACCACCACAACAGTCATCTGTACTGACTGTCCAAAGGGACATAAACTCATAATCTGCTAATGCTTCAAATGCTGGCTCATCATCATCTTCATCATCAGAATACAGAGCGTTAATCAGCTTTTGAAGCCATTTAATTTACTGTTGTTTTTAGCAGTCGATGTTGATGATTTTTGTTCTTAAATCAGAAATGTGGTATTTTCAGAATTTGTTTTATTACATTTTAAATGCATATTTATATATACACTGTCCATCTTAATGAATAATTTGAGTAAAGGAATAAAACCATGGATAGTTTTGATCAGATTTAGACTGAAACTCCTTCTGCAAACCAACTGATGTTAAACAAAGTTTCTGCTGTTCTCCAGATCCATGTTGGGAGCTCTAATTTAATTGGCTCTAGTTTAAAGGGTCACGAAACACCAAAAACATTTTTTGAGATGTTAATCATATATGTGAGATGATGCAGTCATATATGTGTCCCACGCTGCTAAAAACACTATTAGGACACATATATGCCACAAAAAAAAGTGAAAATTGGTTGTTTTTGCGTTATTTTGAGAAAATTCGTTCTTCCGGTTTGTAACGAATTTTTGAAGCTGCGTCACGCCGATTAGATACTTGTGTGTTCCAGCGTGTAGACTGGCTGTCTATACCTGGGAGTACTTTGTGATGTCTCTGAGTCTGCTGCAGTCATTCATAAGAAAGGCTTTGTTCAATCAGCGCGCTCTATTGTGTATGCGGTGCAGTGTTTAGACGGCAGAGAGGCACCATGCTATGTTGCCAAAACAAGTGGGAGAAGAAGAATTAGTTGGAGATATGGGCCGTCAGTGTTGCTTTTATAATTTGCTGCAAGGAAGGTTTTTGTTTTCATTTTCCCGCTATGAGAGTGCAGAAAGACTTACTGGTGGATTACAGTGCACGTGACATGCGGCAAAAACCCCTTTTCACAATGCATACTATGCATAAAGCCTTGCAAATATACGTTGCACAATACAAATAAAAGTAATTTTAAAATGAATTTCAGCAAATAAACACCCTTGATGTGTTTATGCCTTTATTAAGATTTTCATGTTAATGTTTACTTTCACAGTCTCATTTAGGAAAACTCGTGAGATAAATTATGTCTCTGAACTTTAATAATAAATCTATATAAAATGTTGCGCTTCCCACCTCCAGTCGCAATGACTTCTGGGACTTCTACAGCGAGTGCTGCGCTCAAGTCTGCAATGATGCGTTCTTAATACCAAGAACACCTCCTGGAATTTTCACACTCTGTACTCCTCTGTACTTGCGTTCTTGAGTATTGGAACTGAACTTTGGCGGTTGATGCCATTACACGAAAACATGAGGATGCAAGATCACTGAAGAACGCTTCAACGCATGAGCTTGTTTTAGAAATTCACAAGTGTAAAGGTAGCCTATATTTACTTTACCAGCAAATCTACAAAGTCTTATGAGGAAAAACTGTGATTGTTCATTGTTTTATTGTACAGGCAGCCTATATTTACTTTGTTATCAAGTCTAGAAAGTCTTATAAGAAAAACTGTGATTGATTTCAGCATATCTGCGGCTGTGTCCCCTAGTTCACAAACACTCACCTGATGTATGTGGTCTGATCTTTGAAGCGGTCACACAGAGGGTTCCCATCCAAACACAGCTCCACTAGCCTGAAGCCCTTTACCTTGTCCAGCTCACAATGTGACTTGAGCTGCCGACACAGAGAGAAAGACAACACAATGATACAGAGATTACGCAATACAGACAATTCTGTGGAGCTTGTGGTCAAGTTAGGGCAATTGTAGGAGCTAAATTTGCAAATATTATGCAAACAAATGTTTCTACCAATGTAAATAGTACAGTAATAAGAGCATCAGCAGGCATGTAGCTCACCTCATTACAAGACAGGTTCAGCGACTGCAGGTTTGGGGCTTTGTTCACCAATTCGGTGAGGCCATCTAGCTTGTACAGTTTGTTTTTGCTCAGGTTCAAAGACAACAACTGAGTAGGATCAAAAAGAAAAAGAGAACCAGAGATGTTTCTTCAAACTACGAACTATTTTACCAAACTAGGTACTAAGAAGAACAGGGAGATAGTGATGCAACTGCAGGGGATTTACAAGTTGATATTCATAAGCATTTTTTGTTTATTTAATTTTTTAAAATCTGTATGCTAAACTGACAACTAAGCAAACCCAGCAAATGATTTGGCAGATCCTGGATCTTTTAATCTTGATCACTGATCTCTGCCTAATTTGGTTCTTCAAACAAGTTCGTGAATCAGATTAAAATGTCTGGATGAACTGATCTGAGATCACTGCATGTGTTTTGAAGGACTGATCTATCATTCCTTGATATCATGATCAGCAATTCAATGATTGGCTGACGGCACAGCAGTGTAATGACATCATCTGATTAATATTCAATTATCCATGTGAGCAAAATTACATAGAATTTGTAGTAAATGGTTTGTTAAATATGATGCACAATAACTTTTTGTTAACCTTTGTTGTTAGTGTGGTCAAAATCAATTGTTTCTTCGGTGCTATGGAGACGTGGACAATTCGGTATCGGTTCAGTAATAATCATAATCGGTTATTACATACTGACGTCATTTATCTCATATGTCGCGGTAGCTTATTATGGCGAGGGAGGCAAGCGTGAGTATTTACAAACACTCCAACTATTTAAAAAGCAGAAACTGTGCACAATTTCACTGCGAGTGTTTGCTGGACAGTCTTTCATTGAATCTTACAGCAGAAGCCCCTATTTCACTACGATTGAGAGAATGAAAGTAAACTCCATTTCTCTCTCTGTCACTGTGGCCCATTTGACCTGCTGGTGTGAATTTTCCTCTCCTCTCAGCTGTTACAGCGATACTTCTGGATAGAGGTCTGCATTCCCGCAGCTGTACAGAGATATCAAACTGAACCGAATCGATGCCATGATAATCATAACCAAACCGAACCGTGAGACCAGTGTAAGTTTACACCTTTATTTGTTGTGGTCTGCAGGATTTGCACTTTCACGAGGATTTGCACTTTCAAGAGTATTTAGCAATTTATTTAGCTTTACATTTAGAGAGGATTTTCTTTATTATGTTTTCTTTATTAAGTTTCTTAATCAATGTAAAGAATAACTGGCTGTTTAAATTTAAACATTTTGATATTGGTAAAGGTGTTTGCGACTTTTGTGAAGCATCTGTGAATCACTGTCATATTAGCTGTCAAAACATATAGATACATATGTGCATGTCTATTATCATACACAAATTTTACTAAAGCTGGTACCTTAAAATAGGACACATTTGTATCTAAAAGTCCATATTAATAAACACACACACGCACACACACACATACACACATATATATATATATAAAATCCTGTTTATATGAAATAAGCTGCTGCTCCCGAGCAGGATTGAGCTACTAGACCTGTTGCTATGACAACAACTCTCTGATGAGTATTGAAAAACTAAACGATCAATGTACAAGTAATCAACGTACGAAGAACAGACTCCAGAAAAAGATATTGTCAAAACATTCCATGTGACTTCAGTGGTTTAACTGTAATCATTTAAAGCTCCGAGTGGAACACTTTTGTGTGCCAAAACAACAACAAAAATTGTAGAAACAACTTTGTTTGCCTACTGCATGTCCTCTCTTCAGCTGCATCAAGTCCTGGTGTGCATTTACTATGATCAACACAATGCTTGTGTGTTGTGCTACTGACTTTAATGGTAATATTAATGGGTTTAATGGTCATATTAAACATGCAATTTACAACCAGACGTGGAAAACATCGAACAATTGTTTTTTGGTGCATAAAAGTGTTCTTGGAGCTTCGCATGATTACAGATGAACCACTTAAGTCACATGGAATGTTTTAAACAATGTTTTCAGCTCCTTTTCTCACATTTCACAAAATAAAGTTTTCTGAATCTGTGGCTCAAATGGTTAGGGAGTTGGACTTGTAATTGAACGGTTGCAGGTTCAATTCCTGGTCCTGGCAGGGAATGCTCTGGAGGCAGTGTAGGTGCAAACAAAAAAATTGAAAATAAATTGAAATGTGTCTGTGCTAAAGAAATTCCTTGTACCAGGAGGTAAAGAAAGTCATTTTGAGGGGGAGGGAAGGTTATAGTATGTGATTAAAGTTTAATAAAATAGTAAATAATGAAGTGCACAGATACATCGCTTATGAATAGAACTACTATATAGTGGCTGAACTTTGCTGGATTCCACATGGCTGCTAGATTGAAGAAACAGCTCATGTAGCAATGACCAGCCTTTTGAGACCAGCCAATGTTTAGAAATTTAATCTGTTGCAGTGTTAGGCAAGGCAAGTTTATTTATATAGCACATTTTATACACAGTGGCAATTCAAAGTACTTTACATAAACAGGAATAAAAGAGACACGTATAAGGAAAATAAAAACAAATGATAAAAATGGTTAAAAATTTGATGTGCTCTGATTTCCTGATTCTGACCAGAACATGAACAAGTTTCTCGAAGTCTTCACTAGAAACAAAGCATCTGAATCTTGCAATGTTTTGAGATGATAGTATGCTGATTTACTAACTGCTTTGACATGACTATTGAAACTCAGATCTGACTCCTGAGTCACACCAAGATTCTTGACCTTATTTTTTGTTGTTTGCCCATTAGTGCCAAGGTACACATTCACCTTGAGAACCTCACCTCTGTTCCCAAATGCAATGACTCCAGTTTTCTCTTTGTTTAACTTAAGAAAGTTTTGGCACATCCAATTGTTAATTTTGTCAATGCATTGGCAGAGGGTGTCAATAGCCGCATTTCCACTATAGTGCGAGCCAGGGCTTTTATCAGGCCAGACCGGGCCAATCGCCCGGGAAGTTGAGCAGTGAGGCCGAAATCATGTCGCGTTTCCACTGTCTGGCTAGTGGCTCGCAGCGCGTCACGCAAACCCCGCCCCCAAAACATCCCCTGAAACAAACATCACACAACCCGCCCACTTCAGCGGGAATCAGGCAGATAAAGCACACCATCACGAAACTATTAAAATTAGGACAACCAAAACAAACAAATGACACGTAACAGTACAGCAGTACAATGTATGTCTATATGCACATGCCTGTGTGTTCTCATTCATCATTCAGACCCGATGCGTCTGTAAAGTGCTGCGCAGCTGGAAGACAGAAAAAAAAGGTCGCCTAGTTTCTGCTTTTACTCACCCTGAAAATGCTGTTTGCATGATTTGATTATTATCATCATATCCAAATACTTTATAAATAATATTTAAAACATTCTCTGGTGTTTATTGTTTTTAGAAAATATCTAAAATCTTTTTTTTCAGAGAGGCTTTTGAAAAATGAAAGTTTCATGGCTTTAAAAACAGTTTGATATAGTACCTAATTGTTATAGCTAGCTTTTGTTAGTTTTATATTAGTTTATTTATTCAATTTGATTTTATTATATCTGATATTTATAATTCTTTAAATTATTTCAATATAGCTTAGGCTATTTTATCAAGATATGACAGTATTGTTTTGAGCCTACAAAAGTGAACACGAAATTTGAGAAGTTTAATGTCTTTCTGTTGTATTCATATAGTGTATTATCTCCAAAATAAATAAAAACAATAAAAAAATGAAAGAAAAAAGCCGCTCGCGGCATCAGCAGAGCTATGAAAGGAATGCTCTTTTCCTCGGTCTCACACACACATAAAGGCATCTAAACGCGCACAAACACACATTTTAAACTTGACAAAAACTCTCGAAAACCTTTATTTATTATTGTGCCTTTAATATGGTGTAAAGATTATTATGCGTTATTAAATCATCAAGGAGGACGCAGCAAAGAAAAGTCACTTATAAATGAAAACTACTTTATTATTTTATGCAACAGCCTTACATTTAAAAGAGAAACATAAGGGCGATCATACGCAAAAAGACCCCAGCCTATAATTTGTTACAGATGTTTTCTTTCCCTTATTTATTTGTTTGTTTATGTGTTTGGCGCATGTGCTCGTGTGCGATCGGAAAAATGTCCCTGCCTCTCCTTTTACTCCGCCCGAAGCCCCGGCTGGCCCTCTTTGGCCCAAGGTATTCGGCGGGCCGAAAAAGGCCGGCCGCTGGCCCCAAGAAAGCCCCAATTTGGCCCGATTAGGCCCCGGAAGTGACAGTGGAAACGCAACTGGCCTTGGCTAGCCCTGGCTCGCTCGCTTTAGGCGCGATAGTGGAAACGCAGCTAATGGGGCTGTAGTCATTAGACAGTAAGGCTAAGTAGATCTGAGTGTCATCAGCATAGCTGTGGTAGGAAATTTGGTTCTTTCTCATTATTTGGCTCAAAGAAAGCATATAAAGGTTAAACAGGAGAGGTGCCAGAATCGAACCTTGTGGGACTCCACATGTCCATGGGTGTCCACCTTGACCTATGGTCACCTTTACTGATATAGTAACCTCTCCCTTTAAGGTAAGATCTGAACCATTTGAGGATCGTCCCAGATAGCCCGACCCAGTTTTCCAGCCTATCCAGACGTATGCTGTGATCGACAGTGTCAAATGAGATCGAGTGTTAACTTAAATTTATGGAGGACCTATTGTGCAAAATAATTTCAAATCAATTCAATTTTATAAAGAGTTTAAACAGTTGGGTGGCAAGAGTGTTTAATAATAGCCTGCTTCTAATGGTAAACATTTATAAATTGCATTTTTTTAATATCTTTTCATTAATTTTTTGTCTGCACTTCAATTGACATTTTCCCTTTATACGTGTCACCAGAGAGGAAAAGCCCAGCCCATTAGAGAAGATCTCTCCCTCATTAGCATAGGACGCTTGTCTTGTTTTTGAATCTGCCACTATGCTGACACACAGACATTTGAAGCTCCGCCCTCTATTAAAAAAGCACAATCTCATTTGAATTCAAAGCAACAACCACTAAAAATGCACACTTAGAATCAAAGCCTCAAAAGGGCAGGTTCAAAGAGTTCTGAAGCATTATTTGTGGGGTATTTTGAGCTGAAACTTTACATACACACCAGACACTTATTTTACATCTTGTAAAAAGGAGCATAATAAGTCCAAGTCTTACCTCGGGGATACTCTCCTGTATGATTTTGATCACAGCTTGCATGCAGTTTTTTCTATTTAAGATTATGTCAACATTGTGAGAAACCAATTCTGGAAAATAGAGACAAGTAAACAAAACAAGATTTTGAAAAGCTCTCAAATATTGACTTTTTTTTGTAATTAGTGCAGTATCAGGTTTGTGTGTATTCATATATTTAGCACTGATTTACCTGGATCAGTGCGAATGCTGGTCAGGTCAAGAGACTTCTGGGAATCATCGAAGCGCTTGGACAGGCAGAGCTGTGGAAAGGTGAAGATTAAGTGAAACGGCTGCCATCTGTAGGTCACTGCATTATTGCAACTGTTGATCAAACCTTTAAAAGCTCCAAATCTTCTAGCCTCAGCTCACTTTTGAGGAAAGGGGGAAAATAACAACTGTTCATAAGCACAACCACCTGGAGAACAAGACACATCAGTACAGGACACATTCACAAACTAGATAGATATTTACTAAAACAAGAAAAATGTTTTAGACATCTGATGAATTAGGGACTATGCCGAAGAAAATAAATGAATGACAAATGAAACCGAACAGTACTCGTTGCCCGTCGCTGTCCAGGATTCTGCGTGAGAGTTTGCTCAGAGCACTGGCAGTGGTAGTGTCCTCCAGATAGAAATGAACTTTATCTCCTTCTGTGGTGTACTAGCATAAAAAAAGATACAAATAAATAACTTACAATGTGATATGTAAGCTAAAACTTTACAGTACAATCTAAAAACTCTTACATTAAAAATAGTTAAACGAATATTCCTTATACTCTTTCTTTAAAATTTCCTATTTCGTGTAACCCTGACCTACCCTCTGCTATTCTAAACATTAAGTTTCGATCATGGAGACTAAAGGGGATTTTAGAATTAGGTCAGATATTTGACAACAGGAATCTGAAATCATTTCAGTTATTAAAACAGAAATTTCATTAATCAAATAACGACTTACATAAATTTTTGCAACTACGACATTTTCTCGAATCATCCCTTAAGGATGGCAGAATACGTCTTGTAATCTTCATTTTCCCTTGAAGGGAAGATAACTTTTTTAACTCAATGTTATCTAATGTAGGGTGTTTTTCCCTTACCTCCTTGAAAGTTCTATAGGAGAAAGACTATGGAACAAATTTTAGTGAAGAAAAATGGCTTTCGGTCTGTTCTGGCATTTTTTCAAAGGGACCACAATCTCAAATCATGAGCACAATTTTTAATTCTTTCACAGATCTTATTTAACGCCAGTTCATCTAAAGAAGATATTTCCCAATGTTTCTCAGTGTTGTTTTAAGTGCAAATCCAATGTTGGTACTGTGATGCATGTATTCCGGGACTGTGACATGATAAAGACATACTGGAAAGAAACCCACAAATTAGTTCAGAAGATTATGGGTAAACCTGTTGCCCTTTCGCCAGCTATTCATCTTCTGAATTGTAAAACTGCTCTATAACTTAGTTATGGACTACAACGTGTTACACTTTTGTACATATCTTGCAAGAAAATCTATTCTTTTGTTGTGGTCCTCTTCTAACATTCCTTCTGTCAATATGTGGATAAATCAGATTGCCATTTTCTTACCCTTGGAAAAACGTCTAAAATCTGATGATATCTGGCATATTTGGAATCCTCTATGGGAGTTTTTGGAGAATGTGTCTTGAAAGATTATTTTTAATGTAATTGTTATTTAATTTTTTTTATTTTTTGTTAATTTTACCCTTCACAAAAGACTTGAATTACTAGCCGATAGACGATTGTATAATAGATGGCTATATTATTATATTACTGTATATGATAACAAGACACCTATACTACTGTTCTGTCATTGTAAATCTTTATATATATATATATATATATATATATATAAATAGTATATATAAATAGTATATATATAATATAAATAATTAGTTACACAATTTAAATTTATATTTATTTACGCCCCACAAATTTAAAAAAAGTTTATTTTATTTTTTACTTTATTTACTATTGTCATCAAAATAATGTAATAATGTAAAACAATATGAGTCCCAAAACCACATTTAAAACCATTACTGAATAAAAAAAAAATAGTAAAAAAACCTAGGGCGAGAGAAGATTTTCCACTGGTAAATCGAACATGGATGTTTAGTTATCTTAGACAGATACAAAAAAAGTGTAAAAGGATAATATAATTGGGGCGTCATGGTGGCGCAGTAGGTAGCACGATCGCCTCACAGCAAGAAGGTTGCTGGGTTAGTTGGGATTTCTGTGTGAGGTTTGCATTATCACACTGTGTTGGCCTAGGTTTCCTCCAGGTGCTCCAGTTTCCCCCACAGTCCAAAGACATGGGCTATAAGTAAACTGAATAAACTAAATTGGCTGAAGTGTGTCTGTGAATGTGAGACTGTATAGGTGTTTCCCAGTACTGGGTTGTGGCTTGAAGTGCATCCGCAGCATAAAACATACGCTGGAATAGTTGATGGTTCATTCTGCTGTGGCAACCTCTGATAAATCAGAGACTAAGCCAAAGGAAAATGAATGAATGAGTTGAGTCTGTTTTCTGCTGGGTAGAATTTCTGTTTTATTGGAGACCCAGAGCTTTAAGTCATTTTGATCCTATACATGTAGGCTTGGGCGATATAATGGTAATATGGTATACCGCGGGATTAAAAAATAGTAGAGATATCAGTTTAAATACCGTTATCCCGTCATAAAAAACAATGCACTTATATAGGAGACAAGTATTTAATACTATTTATTTAATGCCTAAAAATTTGTGTGCAAGATTGTCATCACGGGACAGTGAGGAGAGAGAGAGGTGAGGTAAGATGGCGAGTCGCGCACCAAGTGACCTGGTCTCGAAAAAGAACATAACCTCTGCAGTTGGGCAGTTATTCAGGTTTCGACCAAACGAGAAGGGAGACATGGTAAATACGAACTAGAGGTCTGCATACTCGTTGCTGTACTGCGGGAGCAGCGGGACCCGACCAGATTCCTTGCGGTGCGGAATCAAATTTACGAATAAAGTGCTGGAACGGTCGGGACTCTAGTGTAATTTGAATGGGAGCAGGCGGTCTAACAATATCGCTGTGTGTGTGTGCGTGTGTATGGATGTGTGTGAATGAGAGAGAGCGTGATGCTGTGTGTTGGTTGTTTGGTGCTGTCTACGTGTGTGTGTGTGTGTGTGCGTGTGTGTATGTGTGAGAATGAAAGAGAGAGCGTGATGCTGTGCATTGCTGGCTTGGTGCTGTCTATGTGTGTGTTTGTGAGAGAATGAGAGAGAGTGTGGTGCTGTGTTTCTATGTGTGTGTGTTTGTACAGACAGCACGCAGATCTCTAATACGAACAAGACAATTTACAAATTGTACAACAAGCAGGTGACCGCGAACCTAAGGTCGCATATATGGTATTCAGTTTCGGAATGGATTAGGCACAAACTAACAGTTTGGTGACACTGTCTGAGCCATCATATATATATTTTTTTGATATGCACGGTAATACTGTATACTGAGGTAAAATAGGGAGGAGGTTTGACTGTATCAAAATTTGGATACCGCCCAAGTCTATATGAATGCATAAAAAGATATACTACATCAGTGGTTCTCAAACACCGGGCCGTGGATCGGTACTGACTCATGGATCACTTGGTACCGGGCCGCACAAAAAAATCATTAATTATTTCCATAATTTTTATTTTTAAAGACAGAACAATCTTTTATTTTGAAAAATGACCGTATTCTCCTGCTTATCTCGGTCACTTGAGTGCAAAATTTTACCCACAAGTAGCAAAACGAGTATGAAACTTCTTTAAAAAGTTTCTTTGCTAAGAGGAAAAGGCCCAGTGAAAGACCCACAAACTGCCAAAGAACAGATCCGCAACCCATTTGTCAACAAATCAGGTGAATCCAGCATGTTTGTGCAAGAAGATCAACTGCTAGAGACAGCAAATGACAGCGACCTAGGGGCTGTTCACATATTACTTTTTTAGAGTTCGTGCAAGTTCCTGATTCACAATAGAGGTGCATGGCTTGACTCAAGTGGTGTGATGCACTCGTGCCTTCCAGATGCACCCAGTGTAATGAATGCCGCAAGCGCACCGTGAATCACGTGACAGGAACTGACCAATCAGCTTTATACTTTGCATACACATCTCAGTTGACTAATTATCCCAGACAAACACAAACACTGCAGTGCTTTGTAATTTTCTCTATAAAAAAAAACTTGTATCAGAGTTAAAGCAATGTGTTGTCAGCTTGTCATCCTCTGAGAACATGGTTGATGGTCACCTTGCAACCTACAAACAACCCTGCCCCCCAGTCCATGATACAATTGTCAAGCATTGACCGGTCCATGGTGATAAAAAGGTTGGGGACCACTGCACTATATTACAAGCTAAAGGAAAACATTACACGCATCATATAGTTTTTTTAATAAAAAGGATTTACCAGCAGTTCATCTAAGTTCAAATGTCAGTCCTAGACCAACTAAAGAGATAGAAAATGAAAATGTGTTAATCCTTCACTTCCTATCCTTCAAAACCTATTTGAGTTTCTTACTTTCTGCTGAATAGACCATTTCAATGTGATGTCATTGGCCCATGAACAATTCCTGCTTGTCAAACTGTTTCATAACTGTATCAAGAGGCAACTCAATGATAACTTTACATTAAAATACCTTAAATAATCAAAAGATTATTTATCAACATCTTGAGCTTTTTGGATTCTCTGAAGCTATGGAAATTAAAAATGTAAAAAGTGTAATCCTGACCATTGTCATTGTTTACATCCCTCAAAATGGTCTATAAAAAAAGATGACATTATAAATATTGCCAGTATTGTTCAAACATCCTTTGTGCTCAACAGAAAAAAGAAGCACCGAGGTTTAAAACCAAATCATCAAATCAAGCAGATCATTACATAGACTTACGTGTAGTGGGGTGAACGCTATGGGACAGAGATTCTGTAGGGATGTTAGCAGCCATCTCTTATCATACTTTTTTCCATGTGGAATCTGTCAAACAAAAGCAAGTAAATCAGCATATAAATAACATAGTAATCAGGGTCTCGTCTAGACCAGGAGTGTGCTTCTCAAAACCCTCATAGATCAAGTATGATTGCAAATTACATCATTACATACACCCAAGCCCGAAATTGTTCATACCCTTGTCAAATTCTGACTTAGTTACTTTTATTCTTCCAGCAAGTTTTTTTTTTTTTAAATCAAAAATGACAAACGCTTCTCTCAAAAGATAATAAGACGATGTACAAGAGTCATCAAGATTTTTCCCATAATCGAGCAGCCCTATCAATAATGCTATGAGATTAGCATTTTAAATTAAAAATAATAATAAAGACATATAAAAAATAAATTTTTTAAATACAAATATCATCCATCATTCAAAAATGTAAAACAATTAGGAATCTGGTAAAACTTGTTTTAAACTAAAAAGTGTAGCCTGTAGGCAAATAAAAAAACTGGTCATGTCATGGCATCCGCTGGGTTAAACATATGCTGGATAAGTTGGCGGTTCATTCCGCTGTTGCGACCCCTGATTAATAAAGGAACTAAGCCGAAAAGAAAATGAATGAATGAATTAATGAATGAATGAATAAGTGAAATCTGAAAGCTTTTTCATACTCTAAACAGCTAGGATCCCGACTCAAAGTGCAAACTAAATTCTCAAAACAGACCATATGCCTTCAATAGCTCAATCAAAATACTGTATTATCAAGCTACAATTATACTAACAACTTTATTTAACAGTTTCAGCATAGGGCACACACGGGTTGCATTTATGATCTATGTGCACTGATGTATACCCCTCGTATGCCTGCGTCCTAGAGTCTTCAATCCTCTGTGCAATCCTGAGGATACACTGACATGTGCTGCACCAGAGAGTAGATGAGGATCAACAAACTCACAAATATGACCTGAAACCATGCTCCATCTGAATGGGCATGCTGGAAATTTACTGCTGATTACAGAGCTTTACTGACAAACGCGCACAATAATTAACAGATACATATTTTGCTGCTTCTGTGTGTGCCGTGCTCATTCAATGTGGGGACTACAAGATTAACATGAAAACTGATGGAAATTCGGTCAAATATAAATCTCAGGAGACCTAAATCTTGCATTAACCAATCAAAAGATTGCTCTTGTAAGGGAATGATTATGACATCACGCCTGTCCCAAAGGAAAATCCAGGGGAAAATCATTCAGGTATAGTTTCTTGAGAAGTTAATGAACTCACAGAGCTGGGTGCACCTCTGAAAGGATCTGGTAGACTGAGACATGGCGCCAAAAAAATCTATGATGTTTTTCAGCCTTTCTTAAGCACACAAAAGCCCATTTCACACAGTGATACTGGTAAATATTCAGACAATTCCCGGAACGACTTTACCGGTGAATTTAAAAATAAGCTGTTCACACAGACGAGGACATTACAGATTTCTCTTCCGTTCACAAATCCATTCCAAAATACCTGTAAATTCTGAAATCATTAACTAGAAAAGGCCTCTAAACACCTACGTTTGTATTTGTAAACATTTGACTACCTTACAAACTCTGTGGATGGATCAGTATTGTGAGCAACTTTGATGAAAACATATGGAGGAACACTTTTGCATGTCGAGATCTCCATGTGTGTGTGCTGGTGCTCACCGGCTGCTTCAAGGGCACACGGGAAGCGTCAAGCAACTGAAGGAAGCAGAGCTTGAAGGTAAACAAACAACAGCTTATCATAAGCATCTTATTGATAATTATTTACACAGTTGGCAATAAGAAGGAACATAAAAACGTTATCTGACTAACATCTAGCAGCAAAATATGTCTGGAAAAATATTATAAGGCTTTTATCTTCATAAACCGAGCAGATGTGAATTCTGGGTGGTGTTCTGATTGGCTAAAGTAAACGTCTCACATCAGCGCATACTAGACGTGAATGCGCTCTTAGCGCAAATCTTCCTTCTGCGTTCACACAGCGCAGCATTCCGGCAAATTACTGGTAATGTTACAACTTCTCTTTCCGGAAAATAGCCGAAATGAATTTACCGGTATTTTCAAAAAGGGCCTGTTCTAGCGCTTGCACGACTACTGGTTTCTGCTAATCGATTTCTTTTCAAAACTACTCGAGTTAGTTGACTACCTGTGGTTCGAGCTGCTAGTTAAAAAGACACAAAGAAATCATTTTCAATACATTTTATTAATTCATAGCTGAACGCATTGATTTCATAGCGCTAACATAAGTTGTCAAAACATTATATTACTTTTTATGTTACAGAGCAATATAAAAAAAAAAAGCTGCACGCAACATTGTCATTTAACATCTGCTTCATAAGCTTGCGGTATATGCGAAGCAAACTCATGTTCAGCCTGTATACTTTAAGTTATTAAAGTAACTTTATTATTTTTCAGCCGTAATAAGAACTAAGTGAAACTTAATTGTTAAACCAGTTCGGAAAGATAAAAATAGTTCTCGTCAACAATACAGCTGACCCGCAAAAAAAACATAAAAATAAATAAATAGCCTAAATTAATAAATAATGCATAAATAAAAAGTTGAAATTGAAAATACCTAAATTAAATATTTATAATACAAACAAAAAAAGAAAAAAGCTAGGCTAATAATTTCATTTTAATTATACATTTAATGTAGGCTTTAGAAAGTAAAAGTAGCCACACCCGAAACCTAAAATGCATCCTGAAAACTCACTCATAACGCAGTATTCATAAAACTAATTAAAAGATTAATAAAATGATTCTGAGCTAGGCTAAATCTCATTCAATCATTTAATTTCTGCTACGCTTTAACAGTGACTAAAATAACAAAATGAACGAATAAATATAGCCTACTTTAACCGGCCTGAAGATTATGTAAACGATCATCTGCGCGCAAGTAATAGTCTGTTATACAACAAATAGTCTGATTTAAAAAAAAAACCCTCTAATATTTAGGTTTCCTGCAGTGATAACAAGAATGAAAATTATTTTGCTTCAGAAAATAAATAGTTTAACAAGCGACAATAGTCTATACAGCCAAATAGAAAATAAATAATAAATGAAATATTTATAAATACATTATTTAAATAAATAAAAAATATATATGTTAAAATAATAAATAAAATATGCGCAGACAGTAAAATAACAAATGACTGCATGATATTTTAACATGCAGACTTGTTGTATGTCAAAATGTATTTCAATTTAAAAGTCAAAGGAAAAAATGCAGCAACGCAACAATGAATGAAAAGCCCGTCTTGCAATTTAATCATTTTATATTTACCGTTTTCGACAGAAAAAGGAATAGAATCTTACTTCATCCAACTTTATACAGAACACAAGTCATTCCCGCTCAGTCTTTGGTCAAGCTCATGGATTGCTGGTTTAAATTTAGAAATACGTGAGAGGGATGCAGGTTGCTACAGTGTTGCCGGCCAAAGAAAATTTCTTTCACTTCGTGTGCTGGTTTTAACAAACTGTTGAATAATACGACAGCAAGGATAGCAAGAAATGATTTCGCTAGCTTGGATAGTAGAGGAAACTGATGTTCATTACATTACTAAATCATAATATGCAGAGCAATAGATACAATAAAGTATACTTATGGAAACTGTTTATCTAACTGAAAGCTGTCGTGTTTGCTGGCCTCACGCATCACGCACTTGTCAGTCAGTCAGCACGTAACCTTTAAGGGTTAAACAAATGACGCACACACAGTAAAGTTTGTGCTGTTATAATTCACGTAACTTTTAATACATTTTGGTGCGATTATAACCAGCTATTATAAAACACGACTGAATGTTCTGAATGGGAAACTGTAATGTTTTTTTGCTGTGGCGCCCCGCCACGAAAGAATTAATGTAGCGGAAACCATGTTAACTACATTTCGAGAGGATTCCCTGTGGTGTTAATGTTGATAATGTAAATAATCTTGAATTTAATCTTCAGTTGTAGTCGGAAGCTTTAACCTTGGATCGTGATGTTTGTTGGATACGTTTGTCGTTTTGATGTCATTTATGGTAAATGCACGCTCGAGTAGTCAATTGCTCCTGAGAGTGTCGACTAGTGGTTGAAGTAATCGATCGCTCGAATAGTCGACTAGTCTATGCAAGCCCTAGCCTGTTCACACACACACCTTTCCGGAAAACTGCCGGTAAGATTTTTATGTGTGAAAGGGACTATAGCACAGCTACTCTCTCAAAATCCATTTTAGCCATTAAGCAACGAAGCTAGATTCACTGGGCAGATAGACAGGGTTCATACAGGCACAGCCTAATAAAAATTAAGGACTTTTTCCAGCACCTATTTTTATTTTCAAGACTGACACGCAACTTTTTGAACACCTGAAATGTATTCTCAGCAACCCATAAAAACATTGCATAGAAATGTATACAAATAAAAAACATTAATAATAATAATAATTATGAATCATAAATTAATAATATAATAAACCTGCACTAAATGTGCTTGTAAAATGTTTTTTTTTTGTAAAAGAAATACCACACTACAAAAATACTAATTTTAGTAAATAACACTAATATTAGGTAAAAGTACAAATTACTCTTTTAAAAAACTACTCACAGTACTAGTTAGTTACTTTTGAAAAAAAAAAAAAATTCATTTCTGCCCTTTTTTAAATGTTAACTTCTTTGAATGGTTAAATTGCTTAAATCACAAATATAGAAAAAAAACAAAGAAGTATGGTCGATTCTTTCTTTCTTTAATGACAATTAATCTTTTTCAATAGCACTGACAAAACTACCACATACTCTATTAGGCCATAGAGACACTTTTTGTCCATTTCTAAACAATATTTTCAAGCTTTGAAAGGTGTAATTAGAGTATATGATGAAAAGATTTAAATTTAGCCTTTTGTTTACATATTTTACACTATTTTCCTTATTTGCTCATTCTTGTCTTTACAATATAGCAAATTTGTTTCTTAAATAGTTGTACATTACATGGGAATTTTATTTTACACTTGATCTTAAACTGAAATAGTTTTACAAAAAAGACAAGTATACTGTCAGTAATAAAATAATAAAACAAATGACTTTTTACTTGAGGTATTTGAAATGACAACACTACATTTCTCAAAGCAGTGTTTTAAGAGCCTTATTGCTTATTTTAACAAGTAACAGCAGATTCCTTTGACCTGTAATGGCTGTAAAATTTAGTGATGCTTTAAGACAGATTAGAATACAGCTATTATATACAAATCACACAAACACCTTAAACAGAAACATTTCCAGCATAATTCTTTTGTTGTAAAGAAATAAAAAAGTTCCACCTTTGCTAAAAGCAAGTTTCACTTCACGATACAGCCAAATAAGAAGACTATTAGCATTGTCATCTGTCATGCATTGATCTAATTCTAAATACTTGGATAGATTTTGACTAAATTTAGTCAAGGAGCAAAGATGAATCATGTCTACTTTAATGTCGAAGAGATTGCGATTATATACAGTCTGCGCGCACACACGCGATGATGAGAGGATTTTCAGTTCTTTTGAAAAACCTTAAAAAGCTCCCATAGCAGTTCATGCGATTAACGTAACCGCCGGAGAGAAGACAGCGAAACATGTGTATATATATCATAGAAATGGCGGGAAGTATGTCCGCGGTTTAATTACTCGTGCTAATAACATAGACATCTCTATAGTGAAAACATCCAAAAAGCATTATTCCAACAAAACATTTGTTTTTCAGTTCTTTTTTCTGTCACTGCAACACAGAAAGGTCTTTGTCCCACCCCTTAAGTTTTAAGAACAACTAGACAAGGTCGACTGTGATTGGTCACTTTTCATGTCAGTCAAATCACCGCTTCGGAGTCCTAGTAGTTTGTGCAGGTATTTTTGCATTATATTGTCACCAAAGTTTGCAAACATTTTTATTTTTCCAGCGTGAAAACAGCATTGAAGTTCTCCTTTTAATTTCAAGCACGTTTATGCACTTTTCAACAAAACAAGCCAGTTTTCCAGGTATTCCAGGCCATGAATTTCTAAAAGCCAAATTCAAGCACTTTAAGCACCTTGTGCAAACCCTGAATAAACTTAAAATGTTCACGTGCGAATACTGCAATTTATTTATTTAAGTCATGTCTGGTGTGAATGTCCCATAAGACTCTATTTTCAAATGTTCACTACAGCAATGACACACTACCACTTATTAGGTAGGGGTGTCAAAATGAATTGTTTCTTCAGTGCACAGCGATGCAGATGTGGACAATTCGGTAACACTTCAGTAATAATCACAACTGCTTATTACATACTGAAGTCATTTATCTCATATGTGCTATGTCGCCGTAGCTTACTATGGCGAGGGAGATGAGCGCAAGTATTTACAACGCTCCAACTACTTAAAAACACAGAAACTGTGAACAATTTCACTGCGTGTGTGTTTGCTGGACAGTCTTTCACTGACACTTACAGCACAAGCCCCTATTTCACTGCAATTGAGAGAATGAAAGTAAACTCCATTTCTCTTTCTCTCTCTCAATGTGTCCCATTCGACCTGCTACTGGCGTGACTTTTCCTCTCCTCTCAGCTGTTACAGCGATAATTCTGGATTTTCTCAAGTAGGTATCGCTGCAGCCCGGAGACCTGCAAGTGGGAGGGATTACACCGCAAGTAGGTTGGGTGACCTCCAAGTGGAAGGGACTTAAACCACAAGTAGGTTGGGTTTATCAGGTAATTGTGAGGTTGGGTTTAGGTGTAGACGTTAATAAAACACAACAGGTTACCGTAAGGTTGGGTTTAGGGTTAGGTGTACATATTCATAAAGCACAATATTGAACTCTAAATATGACTAAATAAGGTTTGCCCAGCCCACTTGGAGCTCCAAGGCCCACCCACTTGGAACTGGCTCCGGCCTCCGTTTATACCCATTTCGATTTTCTCCACCGTGTCTATCATGGATCAGCTGTGATCGCCGCTGCAGTTTATCAGTGTCACTCATCTGTGAAGAGCGCCGGCGTGTAAGAGCCAATCGCAGCCCTTTCTATTGAGCACATGACCAATCATAGGGGTCTAAGTATGAACTTGGCAGACAAGGCACAGAAAGCGAGTGGGATATTTATATTTGTTAATTTGCTATAAATGCTTGTGTTGTTTAAAGGTACAGTTTCTATATCTGACTGCTTGTATTAAAGGACAAAATTGTATTACAAATAGTATATATTTAATATATGAATACATTTTAATACAAGAATTGATGTGAAGAAAACTGTGTATGGAAAGTATCGTCAATGCACTGTGATGCACCGAGATATCGAAATGAACCGAATCAATGGCATGATAATCGTAACCGAACTGTGAGAACAGTGTAGGTTCACACCTCTATTATTGGGTGAACTGTTCCCTTAAAGAAACTCTTACTGTCATCTTGAACCATTGTTTTCCTCCTTTCTTTTCATCTCCTACTCTGAATCGTTGTTTGTTTCCCTCTCCAATCATCTCCACCTGCCCTTCTCCTCTCCAACTGGGACGTCTATATGGAATACTGCAGGAAAAGCATAACATGGGCTGGGAGTTATATACACAAACATTCCTTGCATTGAGTACATTTACATGGACATCAATACTATTCAGACAAATTAAGGGAATTAACTAGATTACTGACGTCCATATAAACGTAGTCACTAATGTAATCCTTATTGATGAAGCTCAAACACAACATCACTTACAATCTTTGTTTGGCTGTCCCAAACTGACCGTTCATCAAAGAGACATCCATACTGCTGTTCTGCATCCTGCCGCGGGGTCCAGACCCACAACGGCCTCGAGCTCCAGAACCATGCAGCAAGCGAGCCGGACCATTGTGTAGATTAGCCTTAACGGAACCCCAACTTTGACGAACACCCACCAAGTGGCCATCCTGACCTGAAACAAAATCAAAACTTTCAGCATTTCATTAAACGTCAGACTGGTATTGTTTGTTTAATGTGATAAAAATCATAGTTTACTGTTGTATTGTTTAAAGTAGAGCTGCACAATTAATCGTAAAACATTGCGATCTCGATTCGACCCCCTAGACCAGGGGTCTCAAACTCAATTTACCTGGGGGCCGCAGGAGGCAAAGTCTGGGTGAGGCTGGGCCGCATAAGGGATTTCACAAAAAAAAAGTCCTCAAATGTCATTATTAACAGTTTTAATTATTTCTTCTGAACATGAAGTGTCCTGAACATTAATAGAACATTGAGTGAAGATTATAAACAGTTCTTCTGAACATGGCATCTTTTGCCTACTTCTTGCTGCCAGAGACTTGACAGCGCTTCTTCTCACAAATCTGAACCACATTTGGCTTTAGAGCGGAAGCAGTTGAGACCCTCAGTATGGCTTGAAGATGATCATCATTAAGTCTAGACCTGTACTTTGACTTATTGAAGTCCTAGGGAAAAAAGTGGGGGAACTCACTCAAAACTTCCATTCCCTCACCTAAAAAAAAGGCGTATATATGTATAAATTAAACACCCCCACCCCACTCCAGTCACATCAGTCTGTACCAGTCTGTATCTACCTATAATATATATATAAGATGCAGGCTGTAGCTAGGTAGGTGGCAGACTGCAGAAAGGTAGCTAAGTGGCAGGCAGGGGCGGGAACAGCTTACCTTGGTTCTGGCCGGCGCGAATTCCCTCCTAACACTTCCCGCCCGTCACAGCGTCAACAAAGGGGCGGGGTGCGTGGTGACGTCACCGGCATCCCCGCCCCTTTGTTTACAAGGCGGGCGGGGAATGCCAGTGAAGGCTGTGTACAGATAGAATCAGCGGAGCGGGGAGCGCTCTCTTTCCCCGCTCCGCTGATTCCGTCAGTGTACAGTGGTCGGCGCGGGCCACAAAATATTGCACTGAGGGCCGCAAATGGCCCGCGGGCCGCGAGTTTGAGACCCCTGCCCTAGACAATCTTAATCCAGCAGTTCTACTATTTTGTCAATCATATTTTCAAGTTCAGGAGAGAAGCAAAAGAGGCCGCACAAGTCTTCACATTGTTTTACATACATTGCTCAGCAACATGGACACCTCCAAATGGTGTTGAAAGAGTCACATCCTGTATTTATAAGATATAGTTCACCTCAAAAAATTTCATTTCTGTCTTCATGTAATGATGTATTTGCGACTGCAAAATCAAACGTGACGTGAGCTGACCGTCAGCTGTTACCACAGAGCGGGCGAGTGCGCGCGCGCCTCTGAATAAAGTTTACTTTAGTGAACAGAACCTGCATAGGCTGTGAGTAACAGGTAATAAAGTTGTAAATAACATTTAATTTGTGGCACAGAGCGATCGTTTGGGAGCCGCGCGGGAAGTGAACAGCTCTTAGCAGTGAAAATGAAACCGAAAGCGCACACTGTGTTGCCAAATGTAGCTGACTGATTCCAGCCCAAAAAGAAAATCTAAAATCTAAAACCCACCGAAATGCAAAAATAACCCACCCAGTCTTCTGTATTCACAAAAATCACGTCAGTGACAGATTTTGAGCAGAAAATGACAGATTGTAAGCATATGTCTCAAACACAATAATTCAACATCAGAATTATCTTCAGCATTAATGACCAGGACAAATCTAAAGTCTGTTCAAGTCCACCATTCCAAGTCTATACAAAATTTAGCATTTAAACCAACAGTACAGCTACACAAAGCCTATTGCTTTACCACATGTTTTTGAACAACAATAATAATAGCCCATGCACTCATAACCTTTATTTTACATCTACAGAATTGTGAGAAAATCGTGATCTTTATTTTAGGCAAAAAAATAAATAAAATAAAAAATAAAAAAAATCGCAATTCTCATTTTAGCCAGACTCGTGCAGCTCTAGTTTAAAGTATACCTCAAAATACTATGTACATACACTGTAACATTATGAGAATTTGTCCTGTACTGCATTTTTATGCTTTAGGTGCACATGAATGATCAAGGCTTGAACACTGTTCAAATTTACTACCCTTTTGTTATGTTCGGGATGAAAACATCCACTAAATTGCTGTAAAAATGCATCAGATAAATATTTATTTTTGCTTAAATCTGTTAATCAACCTCAGTCTTGATGCAAACTTCTAAATTAAAACAGGATTTTAACTCTTTAATTGCCAAGTTCACAAATGATGTCACTGAGTTTTGTGGACTGGATTTTTTTAACCTTTAATCAGTCTTGGACATGTGAACGATTAGTGAAACACTGGCTTTGATACATTGTTAGATTTTCATTCCTCCTTCCTAATTTACTGTTGGTGGCTGTTTTCACTCCATTGACTTCCATTATAACTAGATAGTGCATAAATGCAGTCTTTGTTTTTATTTACTCCATGTAGTTCTGAGAGCTGAGATTTAGATTTTCTCAGACAAATCAAGGTAAGTGCACAAAGGTCACTCTCACACACACACACTTTATTTTGTTGTTATACCCCATATAAAATCCAGAAATTAAGCTTTTTTTTACACAGGTCTATGTAAAGGGTTAATGGTGCCAACTGATAATTAAAAGTTAAAAATCACAAATTTTACCTCTTCCCAACAAGAAAAACCGAGAGGGGTCTGGATGCAGACCTGGTGCTGTGCAATCTGAGCTGCATCCAATGCTTCTTAAAGCGCTCACCTAACCCCACCCGTCACAATAACGTCACTCACTCCCTTGTGTCTGACATTGCATCGCTGAGTGATGCAATCTCAGCTTGCATCATAAAGGCTGCATCTAGATCCTATTGGAAAAACCACCAACACTCAAAAATGTATGATTATATGGTGTCACAGTTTTGTAATTAAACAATGTGGTTTTAATGGAAGTAAATGGGGTAAAAACAGCCACCAACAGTAAATAAAGGAAGAAAATAGTTAAAATTAATCAAAAACATTGCATCAAAGGCAATGTTGATACACATCCAAGGCTGTGATAAAAGGTATAAAATCCAGCCCACAATTACTTTGTGTTGAAAATACAAATCAGTGACATAATTTGTGATTTTTGCAAATAAAGATTTAAAATCTTGTGACTTTCTAAACAATTTAGTAGTTTTGATCAGAACTGTGGTTGATTAAAAGATTTATGCAAAAAAATGTTCTGAAAAATATTTATCTGATTTTTTTTTTTTTTACAACAGTTTGATTTAATGGGTCTGCTTTAGTATGCTCCAAATTTTAGTATGTAAATTGTTTCAGCATACCAAAAATGTTTTAGTATGGTTTAAGTTTTTACTCAAGTGAGACAAGTGTGGTGCTAATCGACAAGAGAAGGCACCAATAACGGTCCATACACCATACTAATCAAGTTTAGTTTAATACACTTGTTTATTGCTGTACACACAGCTGATATCAATCACCACAATAATAATCAATAATCATGAATCATACTCATGAACATCATTAATCAAAATTCAACAAAATTGCATAAAAGGCTTATAATTTGAAATAAAGATGAGATGACATGAATAAAAGACAATTAATAAAAACCCCAATCAATTTGGTACAAGTATATACAACCTCAGAGACGTGCCATCAGTTTCCTCTTCAAAGACTGGGGAGCCTGTTGCCAGGGCCGGCACGTCCATAGAGGCGACCTAGGCGGCCGCCTAGGGCGGCAGAATAGAGAGGGCAGCATCCCCAAAACTACCCTCGCCACCTGTGCCCTCAGTTATATCCGCGTCTAGGGCGGCAGAATAGAGAGAGCGGCGTCTGCGACACTACCCGCGCCTTAAGTTATATCCACGTCCAGAATAGAGAGAGCGGCGTTCCCGACACTACCCTCAGCACCCGTGCCCTCAGTTATATCCGCGTATAGGGCGGCAGAATAGAGAGGGCGCCCCCCCCTTCCACCCCCGTTTATGGGCGGCATGACCGTCCTTTGCCTAGAGCGCCACTTCAGCTTGCTCCGGCCCTGCCCGTTGCAGTCACATTGGAAAACCAAGACGTGTGTCCGAGAATGCCGGGCGATGCACGCTTATCCCACAGCTGAGCTTCCAATGTTTCAGCAAGGAACCCTCACCTTTATAGTCAAAATTTGGGTGCTGGCCAAAGGTCAGCCTATTAGGTAAGAGAGAAGTGTGAGTTGATCAGGCCCACCTCCTCTCTTAACTAGGTGCACATTATTTCTGATTGAAAATTTGAGGTTTGTAGTGTCAGCATGATTATCTAGAGTCAATATTCTACCTCCTGATATTTGGAGAAAGTTAACCTTAAGCAGGGCCGTAGTGGGACTCCTTTTCAGCCCTGGAGTTTCAAGCCTCAGAGCAGCCCACCTCAGTTCATGACTATATTGAAATAAGTTATTTTCCAATTCAGTTTCTAATTACACTATCACGTCTTTTGAGAAAACAGCTGCTTTAGAACTTCAAATGTTCAACAACCCTAACAGTATTATATGTCTTAACAATAAAAATGAAAAAAATGAATTACTCAGACGAGGATCAAACCCGGGTCGGTGGCGTCATAACCTAACGTGCTAACCACTGGACTACAACAGCTGTACATTGAGAATATTTCTCGAGGCTGCGAGAAAATAGATAAAAAGAGCAGAGCTGGTAAAATAATAAATAAGAAGATTGTGGTCAAGTAAATAAATAAACCAATTTAAATAGTGTGACTGCTGAGAGCAACAGATTCTGGAGCTAGGGACACCGGCCCTCTGGGCCAAAAAACAGACCGGCCCACCGGGAATTCTCCCGGTCCTACCGATTAGCCAATCCGGGCCTGACCTTAAATTCCGTAGACCCTTCTCTGGTTATTTGGTCATGCTTAAGGGTCAATATTTTACCTCCTGAAATTAGGAGAAAGGTGTGAAGTTAACCTTAAGGTCATGAGACCCTTCTCTGTTCATTTGCTTGTTTGTTTCATTTGCTTGTTTGTTGAGCGTTTGTTGAAAAAATATCCCATTGGTTACAGGGCTTTTTATCCTAAACATCACAAAAGGGTAGTAAATTTGTCGAGAGTGAATCGTTGCGTTCTTTAATAATTTTAAAGCATTTTCTCAAAATATGTTTCCAAATAAGATTTTGTCATCAAAATCATTCTGCTAGCAGAAACACAGAAAACCTTTTACCAAAGTTTTAAACCAAATTAAGACACAAAATCTTCCCAGAGTGGATAAAAACATCCCCAACAGTACATAAGGGTTAAACTTCTAAACAGACAAGTTTTACCTGTGAAAGAGCGGTCAGCATGCCACACCTCCCTCACTACAGTAGAGCCACTCGAATCTAAGCCAAAAAGGGAAGAAAAGATTCAAACATGAGTGTAAAAGAATGTTGGATTTGTTATTTTGTGACAAAATTACTTCTAGGTGCTCAAGCAGCCTCAAGCATGATAGGGAATGTGCAAACTAAATTAATTTGTCTATAACATTACGACAAGTATCAATCAACATACTGAAGTGAATAACAATTACCATGAAGACATTTTAATTGAAAATGACATTTCCCAAATTGACTTTGGGTTTACTCAGTGCCAAAAGTGCAAACGTTTCACAGTTTAACACAAATAAATTAATGGATTAGATACAAATTCATGTTTTCATAACCGGCCCTCCCTATAAGCCACAGGTGTCAAACTCAATTCCTGGAGGGCCGCAGCTCTGCACAGTTTAGTTCCAACCCTAATTAAACACACCTGATCAAACTAATTGTGTCTTTCAGGCTGGTTTGAAACCTACAGGTAAGTGTGTTGAGCAAGGTTGGAACTAAACTGTGAAGGGCTGCGGCCCTCCAGGAACTGAGTTTGACACCCCTGCTATAAGCGAACTAAGCGGCTGCTTAGGGCCCCGCCACCACAAGGGGGCCCCCACAACTCACTAGTGGTGCGAACCGTTTCCTTGTTGAAATTGTTTTATTGGCATTTTACAAATTACCAGAGATGGCAAAAGTACACACATACTTTACTCAAGTAGAAGTACAGGTACTTATGTTTAAAACGACACTGGTAAAAGTACGGAATACAGTTTTGTACTTAAGTAAAAGTAAATTACAGCCTGAAATATGTACTTAAGTAAAAAGTACACTTTACTACTAGACGTTATTTTCACTATGCAGGTAAATATCCGGTCCCCCCATGTATCATCATCCTGACGCAAACTCACAACATTCATCATGTAGTTTTGTGGCTGTTGGATCAAAAACAACAGCTGCCATTCAAGCTGTCCATTCAATAATGTCTTAAGTTTTACACTGAATTCTGTCCTAAATATATTGAATTTTTTAAAATTTATAATTTACTATATTTCTTTATTGAATATATTAAAAATATATTTTCTTTTGCTAAAATAAATACTTATCGTATTTGACTGCAAATCATCTTTGCCTTTCTCATAGTAATCTTCATAAACTGTACTACATAGGGTGCACGATAGCCTTTGTTGAAAAAGCCGCCCACTGCAGCACGCAGGCGCGCAATGAAAAAAATTAATTGACTGCATTGATAAGTCATTCAATAGCACGAAGATAAGAAATGATATAGATCACGCCACCAAACACATAAAAAGGAAAGTAACGAGCTCGATTTAAAAATGTAAGGAGTAGAAAGTACAGATATTTGTGTAAAAATGTAAGAAGTAAAAAGTTGTCGGAAAAATAAGTAGTGGAGTAAAGTACTGATACAGAAAAATCTACTTAAAGTTGAAATTGTCCTGATTACCAGGAAGCTCGCTTCATCTCATTTCTCAAGTGTTCTGTGTTCTCGCGGTTTGAGTTTGTTCAAGGTAACCTGTAAGACCGACCGGTCACCACAATAACACAAATCTGTGGACAGACACAGCCATGACCTTTGCTTCATTGCCGGCTCACTTTATATACCCAATTTTTATTAAGAATTGGACCGCAACAATTAAATGAGTATTCTTCAGGCTTAGAAAAACTGAGGGGAAATACGACGACGAGAAGAGAAGCACAAAATCATTTTTAGCATCGCTTTTAAGTGCTAATGATGATGTTAAAGACATAATCTAGTAGCAAATTTTTCGAAAATAGTCCATTTCAAATTAATCTACCTGAAATATATATTTTTGTCCCCGTTTTACAGACCCATGTTTTTAGTCTCAAACGCAATTAACTGAAATGCAATACTGAAGTGTTTTTCACTGACATATTTTGCACACTTTTTCCTGAGACATATTTATAAATATGCTCTGGACCCTGCATCTCAAATGTAAAGAACAGGGAAGGAGACTGAAGGGAATAATATAGTTTGTGTTTACAGTTTAACCTAGTATTTGTTGCCTCCTTTTTTCTTATGTTTTTTTTTATATTAATATTTTTCATATTAATTTATATTATTTTCTAATTGATTTTATTATTTATGGATCAATCTTTGCATTAATGTTATTTGTATTTTTTATTGAGTTCAGAATGTGTATTTTATTATTATAAAGAAATTATAATAGAAAGTTATGCATTTTCAATTTTTGGCTAACTATTGACGTTTCATTGCAGGAATGCTGGATTTTTGCTTTAGGAACTTATATAAAAAACTCATCCTAGAATCTTTTATAGAATCTTCAATCTGTTTCCTAAATCAATAGAATATGTTTTAAACACTGGACGCAAACTAGGAATCACTGCTCCCTTTATTAAAGATTGTTTAATTCTTCATTTTTAAAGCTGCTAGTTGACAAAAACAGTGCGGTTTTAAAATGTCCAAATCATTTGGACAGACATTAAGTAGAAGAAATCAGGCTTTACTTTTCTGTTACATTAATTGTATCTAATAAGCAGGCCCACACGGGATCTGCGCATGCAGAATTCCGCAGATTTTTAGCCCATCATTGATTCTGTTTATTTACTTGTGTAAATGCATGTAAATTTAGATTTATTCATTATTTTTATTAATTACAGTAATATTATTGACTAATATGTAAATTGTTCATATGATTTATTTACAAAGTGAGTTTGTAAAGTAATATTTTCTGTCTTTTAGTAGATGTATTATATGAGAAACTTGTTTTGTTTACCAAATAATGTGGATCTAATTGGATTTGCAATGCAAACATTAAATACAAGTTAAAAATGTATTACTTTTTTATTTCATATATTAGTTTTAGTTATGATACTCCCAAAATCATTCCGCATAATCTGCAGGTTCTTTAACACAATTCTGCGCAGAAAAAGCTAAATATGTCTGCAGATTCCGTCTGGCCCTAACAGTTAAGTAATAATAAGCAATATAATCATTGAGGGATAATTTGCAATACTCCAATATTTAGAGCAAGGTAGGGCCCTAAAATTACTCTGCTTAGGGCCCCGAAATGTACAGGGCCGGCCCTGCATGTTTTAATAATATTTACACATCAATATTAGAATATTGACAATTTTAAAAAATAATGGTGGAGTTCTATATTGTTAATTGTAGTCAATTTAAAGTACAAATAAAATAAATGTCCTTAAATGTCCCGCTTAAAAATCTAAAAAGCATTTGAACTATAACGTTAATGTTATAAATATTATTTCCATTTCCGATGCAAGGTAACTTGTAAAATACGAAAGCTACAAGGCCCATATACGCGCTATTCTAGCACTGAAATGTATAATCATTTAAGAAAAACACGTTACATTTATTTCTACCAAGTTTAATTCTACGTAGAGACGCTTTCACATGCTTCACCTTTTGCTAAAGATTTGTTAACGTTAATAATGTAAAAAAAAAGCAAGTTGATCTAATGAAAATGAGAGCACCTGACAGTGATTAAAACCTGCCAATCAGTCCACCATAACGTAATTCAGCATTGTTCAACTTTAGTTCAGTTTCAGCAAACATCACACCATAAATATCACAAATATTAGATAATTTTGGTACCTGAGGAACTGGAGCAAACCCGCGTTATCACAGACAGATTAGGGTACCATTCCCGGTAACGACTCATTGTGCTCCGGTTAATTTCATGAATTGCGCGCGACCACACCACGTGTACCCGCTCTGATGCACGTGCAGCGGAAAATCCGTCGTGCTTCCTCGTAAAATCAAAATATTTGCGTGCGTCAAAAACAGGGTCAAACCACAAATACAGTTTTGCACGTTGTCACAAGGATATCAGGTAGTTCCATTATATATATTTTTAATTAACATGCAACATTTATTCAAGCTGATTAATTAGCATTTTTAATTAACGTATTTATTTATTTATTATTATTATTATTTTTGATTTTATTAAGAAATTATGAGTTGTACTGTGGGCTAGGTTGCTAACGCGTTTTAGCACGTTGCTCGTATAAACCAAACTAACGTTAACTGAGTGGATGTTGCTTATTCAAGTCAAAAGCACAGCTTCAAGTGTTTATCAATGGTTTTCAGTCTTTTAAATGTCATGGACCCCAAATATAATCCTAATTTAAGAGACCCTAATCATAACATGTAAAAGGCTGCTCTTTGTATATAGACTTAAGAAAATATTTTAACCTTAATGTTAAAATCTGGAAAATACACAGTCACTATTAAGTCCAATTTTTTTTTTATTTACTCATTATGGTACTGTTTATTCATTTAAAAAATATGTTTACTTGTATGTAAATAAATCTTTTAATTGATTTAAGGGTAGTAGGGTTGGTAAGTGACCAGGAGGCCTTTCTGTGTGGAGTTTGCATCCCTGTGTCTACAGTTTGCTCCGGTTTCCCCCACAGTCCAAAGACATGCAGTTAATTGGACAAACTAAACATTTTCATAGTTTATGACTGGGGGAGTGTGTGGGTGTTTCCCTGGCTAGTGCCTGGAAGGGCATTTACTGTCTAAAACAATTTGCCAGAATAAATAGCAGTTCATTCCACTGTGGTGACCCCTGAATAAAGTGCAAACTGCATACACATTCTGTAACGAAAATAATCAGACAAATGACAAAATAAATAAATGTTAAACGTTTATTAATTGCAAGAAAAAAATAGTACTAAAATTTTATAAATAATTTTGTAGTGCACAAGAATATCAATATAAAAACAACAATAAAACAACACATTAAAGACACACAGAAAGATTTAAACAAAAAATCTAAAAATAACACACACACACACAGATGTTTTTAAAACAACCCTGTTTTCCCAATAGACTTAAATTAAAAATTTGTACAAACAGCTAAATTTTATATAAACCTAAATATAGAAACCAATTTAAGATATAGCAAGAAACATCTTAAAAATACCAATGACAATCCGTAAAATATCCAAGTCAAACTTGTAAAAAGTACTGCAGAATTCTGAAGAAACATCTTGAAACATTTTTTAATAAAACATTAAAATAATAAACAAACAAACAAACAAATATATATATATATATATATATATATATATATATATATATATATATATATATAAATAATTGCAGAAGTATAAAGTCAAACTTATTTTTAAATAAACTTGAACAAAATCAATTGCACAAACAGCAAGACATGAGTGAGATGATTATACATTTTATATATATACACGTCTTGTGCAATTTTATATTTATAATTTTATTTGTATTACGTTTATTAAAAATGTATCAAGATGTTTCTTCAGAATTTGGCGCACACACATACATACATACCTACATACCATACATATATATACACACACACATACACACATATATATATATACATATACATATGTATACATATAAATGCAAATGAAAGAAACAAATTGTTCAAGTATCAGGGAACATCCTAATACACTTAAAATGTTGTTTAAAAAATAAAACAAAATAGTGATGTAGACATTTGACACATTAGCTTTCTCTTCTTTCTTCCTCCATCCCTGTCAGGGGCAAGTTGTAGCTACCTTGTAATGCATTTTTCCACTTCTTTATCAGTGGCGTGGTATGGACATTTGTCCTCACTCCATCTGTGATTAAAAGATAAACAGATAATTAGTAGTGAACAAGTACTAATGTAAAAAAAAAAAGAAAAAATTAGGAAAAAAGTAGGCTACCTACGAAGCAAAAAAAAAAACAATAAAAAAAACAAATAAACTTAAAACACTTTGAAATTAGCAAGAGCTTGAACTTACCAGTTTCTTCATTTGTTCGGGCTGCTCCTTTAGTTGATTTTCAAGCTTTTCCAAATCAAATTGGCCAAAGGAAGGTCAAATGTGTTTACATCTGGAATTTTATCACGTCTGTTTTGGTTTTGTGAAAATCAGGCCCAGCTGCTGCTTTATGACGTTGCATGATTTTAAAACTTCAGTCAGTCGTGCTAAAAAAGAAAAACAGATTAGTATAAATCAACCTGTAGCTTATTCTCATACAACTTCTGTAAATACAACAGTGGGTTAGACACTGCTGATATTCTCTAGTTGATCTTTACTTTCTAGCTGCATTAAACCATAACAAATGTAGTGATGTCTTCAATTCTTACAAAGACATCACGAGATGCAATAAGTTATGTCTTGATCTCAAACTGCACTAGTCTGTCTTGATCTCAAACTGCACTAGAACAAAGACTGTAAATGTTCATAGGTGTACTGCAAGAGTGTCCAAACTTTTTGGGCCGAGAGATGTTTTTTGGGCTGCAGATGGCCCGCGGGCCGTAGTTTGGACACGCCTGGTGTACTGGAATGTACAGTATCTGTGCATCTTGATGGTGGTCTTAAGATTTCTGCCATAGTCATTGATGGTGATGGTACTTGTGGTGCTGCATTGATTTCTGAAATCTTCATACCTGCCTTTTATCCAGCCTCTTTGTTCAAAGTAATTTTTCTTCATCATGGTATAGATGCGTCTATACTGTCCCTTGATCAGATACATTTACAAAACAAAACATCACTTTAGTATAGTGCCAGGGCAAAACTCACAGGTTGTAATAGATCAATGACAATGTTGACAGTATGTGTTTAAAATAATTGCAAACAAACCTGTTCTGTCTTTAGATGTATGACAGGCAATCATCGTCCTCATCTGTTTACCAGTCAGAAATCACAGTTGCGTGTGGATGTTTTAGTCGAGCTTCCTCATATGCATCTATAATAAAACATCACATTGTTGTTAACCTCCCGTAAAGAAAAGTTCAAATCCTGAAATACTATCAAAGTTAATTAATGCATATAATACCTATAGTGTAAATAATCAGTACACAGAAGGTTGCACAAGATTTATTCGGAGATTCATGCAGAGTGACAGCCTTATAAATCTGAGACATAGATTTGTAAGATGGCCAAGCACATGCATTATTCTGTACCCATGAAGATTAACCTACCATTGTGAAAAATGTTTGATGATGATAGCCAATAACAATAAACCGTTTCAGCTGTTTGTGAAGCAATTAGTAATGTAATGTCTGAAAAGCTCAATCTATGTTGAAAATATATCAGCAGTTTACAGCTTATAATGGACTTTTAGCACACAACTATAGCATGCCTATTCACGTTCAAAAGAGTGTGCCATTGACTTCTTTGGTCGTGATGTACTGCAAAATGATCTCACTAACCTTTGTTAAACAAGAACAATAAGACTTAACCAACAAATATTGTTACCCATTCATTTAAATCAGAATTTATCACCGTCAATTACATAAAAAACAAACAAAAAACATCAAAATCTGCTTTAAGACGTTCAGTTTTACATTAACTGACCATTACAGCTTGAACAAAAGATATAATTGATTCACATAGGCTAACACATATGAATTAAAGTGCATAGTAATATATTTCTCTTGGATAGTTTAAAGAGAATAGTAAACAGTCGAGTTTCGATCACTTTTCGTGACTAACTGCATAAACAAGATAAACAATAATATTTTATTAATCCAAAACGATTAGTTTTTATTTACACAATCACATAATTAATACTGTTGGATAAGTATACGCCTGTACAATGATTTTTTTCAACATCCACGGTACTTTATAAGGTTAAATCAGGAAAAAAACACGTTGCCATGTTAGTTAATGGATTCGTCTACAGAAACTTTCTTTAACGCAAAGTTAGCATACACACAAATTCGTTTCATGTTTCTTTAAAATAATTAAAATAGTTTTCAGTTACTACACACGTTACAATCTAACATTGTGTTAAAGGAAAATGAACTTTCAGGCGTGTTTGTAACTGTTAGCGTTAGCATACATTAGCTCCAGTCGTGTTTCTTAAAGCAAGTTACATTTCGTATCAAACTGTTTTAAATTACTAAACGCTGTTACAACCAAACACCGTGGAAATGTTTTAAGCTCTAAATTCGCTAATTATACAGAACACAAGCAGTAAAAAGCTTACCTTTCTGACCGGAATTCACGTGAAGTCTTTAAAAAAAAAAACTTTTTCTTCTTGTGATCTTCGTGCCATGGTGGTTGACAACCAGCTTTTTGGAGCATTACCGCCACCGTCTGGATTGGAGTGTGGATCATGAGTTTAGTCACGCATGTGTTTATTATGAAACCAACTTCTGCTTTAAAACAAAAACTGTCAGCACAGGAGCGTGCTATCTCAAAAATAAGCGAATTTTACATAGTTTTTCTCTAGATGACATGTATAATCTATTTATAAATAATATTGCTTTGTTTGCGTCTAAACATTGCGAACATCCACACTAAATATTCTTTTTTTTTTTTTTTTTTTGCTATCGTACCATGAATATTTTCTCAAATTATCATTAAACGTGGAGCTAACAGATTACTAGATAAATAAAGGACTTAATCGGTTGCCATCAGCCTTAATCGGTTGCCATATGGTTGACCGGAATCGGGCCAGTGCTTTACAGCCGTATCACAACCGCATGTGCGCGAGCGAGCTGCGGGCCGCACTCGGCCCGGATAACACTCGCCGATGCCGAGTCGGAGCCGGAGGCGCCGGAGGGCAGCCGAGCTCGGGCCGATTACTGCCTGCTATCTGGGGAGTAGACAAAGGAAAGTGAGTGACTGATTTAATGTCTTTGTTCATTTATCAAATTTCTGTTTCAAGTACTGAACAATTTGATTATTTTAATATTTTTTACCATTATTTTACATTTTTATCATTTAATCATGTATTATTTATTACCAA